TTATTCTACTAAACCTAGAATGCCATAGCGTCACGGTAGGTGTTCTGTGTGTATTTTAAGCATGAAAACTTGATTTAATTTACATTTATGAAAAAAATAGAATTGCACCACTAACAGAAATTCTACCTATTGACTAAAGTATGTAAAAAGGAGGACTCAGCCCTTTCAAAAAAATACCCTAGTATTGTTAACCTTTGTATTTCATGAGAAATCAGAGATGGTATCTAGTTTCTAGACGTTTTTATGTTTCGAAACAGGTGACGTCCTGACCCCCAGAAGTCTCAGAAATAGTAACTTTTTCAAAGGCTTTTCAGAGGGAACTGTATTGGCCTATTTACGATAAAACAAGAGTACAGAATGGAATAATTTCATCTCTTTGTTGTGCCGACTGAGCTCTGTACCCTGTGCATGATCCCTGCCTTCTGGGAGAAGCCACAAGGGCTTAAAGAAGTGAAGAGAAACCGGGTTTGTACCAGGTTTTTCTAGCCCTTAGTCCATTGCTCCTTCATGGAGTGACAGCCACTCCTCATTGTCACATTGTTTCATATGTTAATTATGAACTTCTCCAGAGCCAAGGTCCCTTTTATTTGTCCCTGCATCCCAGCACCTCTCAGAGAGCATAGATCATGGTGTGGTCAGAGAGGTTCATGAATGATTAAAGGAAAAGACAAGCATTACCTTTTATACTCATTTAAATGCTGCCTCTACTCGGCTAAGAGGTTTCTCTCCATAGGAAGGTGTATTTTCCCCAAAATAAACTTCAAGTGTGTGTCAATAGCAAAATGCAAGTGGATCAAGAGGCCTTTCTTTTTATTCCTACTCTTCCCACAAAGGGAAAAAAGTTCCTTTGTTACCTAAAATATCTGTGCCAGATCATACAATGCTGTCTCTCAAACGCAAGTGCTTATTATTGTGGCTAATTTGGTCACACGTGTTTGAAAGAGAACAATGCCTCAGAAATTTTTTAAAAGCAAAACAGCAATCTGAAGCATTTGTTGTAATGAGATGTAAATTGCCAACGCTGGGGAGTGGAACCTACTAAACTTTGCAGTGGAGTGGGGACCCCCCCTTAAATTAAAAGCACCAGAGGCCTTCCCTTCTGTCTTTAAAGAAATCACATTTTATTTGTTTGTTCCTTTCTTTCTGGTTCTGCAGTGCTAAGCACCATGCTTTATTGACTGATGCTTTTCTGTATTCATCTGCCATTCTCTGAGCCTCTGGCCTCTGCCTGCCTCTGTCCTGCCTGGGCACCAGCAGTCTGCTGCATGCATCTCTGAGAAATCCCCACTGGCAGTTAGCACCCTGAGGTCCAGAGAGCTGAAGTGACTGCGTAAGGTTATGTGGCAGGGATCACCCCCAGGTCTGCTGAAAGGTCCCTTTCAAGATGTGCCCCTGGCTGGTTTCTCTAGTGGCTGTCTTCTCTGAGGATGAGGTGTCAGGTGCTTTCTGTGTACCCGGCCCTGAGAACAGGAAGCTGCTGCAGGAAGTGGCCACCAGGTTTTAAGTGGTGTTCTCCTTGCAAGCCAGAGGTCCCAGTAAGATAGCCTTGCTGCTTAACAAGCCCTATCAGTCCCTGAGGAGAGGGAAGGGCGGCTGGCTGTAACTACAAGGACCTGATCTGTGCCAGGCCTATGCTAGGCACCAGGGACAGATGCAGACCCTGCCTCCCAGAGTTCACGGTCTAGCACAAACAAAAGCACACAAGTAGAGAAGGAGTGTTGAAGTGGGCACTGGGGTGCTCATTTACCCAGCACCCATATCATGCCAGACTCTGAAGTAACCATTTTTTGCATGTGGGCAAGCCATTCAATTTTCAGTTCTGCCAAGTTGCTGCTGTTGTCTCTCCATTCAAGTTAGGCAAGAAGGGCACAGAGGTTAAATTATGATTTATGTGGACTTATTACATGAGAGTTGAATTTGAACAAAATGCTGGCCAAACTGTTCTTTGACAGAAAAACACACCAGTCCTGCTGGCCCTAGCCTCACAGTCTGGTTAGAGACAGAAAGAAAACCAAGTGAGAGTGTTTCGTAGGTCTGGTGGAGTGGGGAAGTGTCCGCAGGAGATGAGCTCTGCTACTCAGGAAGACCGCTCCTTGCCTAAACAGTAAGTAGCACACCCAGTATTTAAACTCCAGTAGCTTTGACTGAGTCCCAAGCTACAAGGCAGGGAGAATGATTTACCTCCATCTGAGGAAATTGGGCCGGACCATGGTAAAGGTGGCATTTGAGTCAGACCTTTTGTTACTGGAAAAGCCTTGACAGATGGACAAAGATTGCCCCACGCAAAGCCTATGAGGTGGAAGGGGATAATGCATGTGGGGAGGGTCGGGCAGTCTGCTGTAACTGGAACTTGGAGTTTGTCTTAGACCTGCACCTCTTGTCCCCACTGCAGTGTAGAGGCAGAGGCCCTTGTCTATGGCCGTAGCCATCTGAACTACCCACTCTCCTTACAAGACGCTTCTGGTTTCTTTTTAGTTTGCATTTCTGTTTCTTGGGCTGCAAAAGGTTTATAGACATTTGAGAGAACAGCTTCCCACTTACCCACACCACTGCCTCCAAGCACCCCCACGTAGCAAAAGGGCTTTATTTTCACGTATTGGCCCCAGCCAAAGAGAGCCACCCCACCATCACTGACTCTTCCTTTCCTCTCCATGAGCTGAAGAATTTACTGCAAGTCTGCCACAGGCAGGTACAGCTGCAGGCTTCAAGAAACACAGGGAGTAAAAGCTCTTAAAGAGCATTACAGTCTAGCGCTGAAAACAGGCCTATGGTCACAAACATAGTTTTCTAGAATATTTGCAGTGCAAAGCCCCCCTGTCTGGGAATATGATCTCACCAAACAGAAGCATGACCTGTGTCCTAAAGTCTGACTGGGAGATGGGCAGACTGGTATAGCAACCTTCAAGGCCAAAGTTGAGCACATAAGCCTGGGACAACATAAAATCTGGGGAACCTGAGAGAGGTAGACATGAGGTAGGGAACAAGAGGTGACCTGAGAGATAGAGGAAAAACTGATTCTCTGTGCCTTAGTGAGGCTGTGGTGTGAGACCTTATCCTGAGGGCAGTGGAACAACTAAGCAAGGAAAAGCAAGTCATGTGGAAGATCTCTCTGGCAGCCATTGTAGAGATGGATATGAGAGAGCCTACCGAAGTCAGAACTAGACTGGATCTTTTCTTTTTTCCAACAACCTTCTCTCCTTTAAGGAAAAGAAGACTTTATAGAAAGAATATGATCTTACCAAAGATGACTGAAAGGCAGAGATTGCATGCATCTCCTCCTTTCACCCAGTCCTTTATCCTGTCACCGAACACGAGAACAAGAAGAAACTCAAGAAGCACTCAGCCATGTACTTTAGGGCAAGCTGGTTATGTTTTCCAAAGTATGAAGGAATATCAAATATTTCCTTTAAATTTGTTTGCGTTTTAATAATCTAAACTGAATCAACACACAAAGAGGGGAAGCTTTAGCATCTACTTCTAAAACTTTAAAATTATTCATTAATTGTTGCTATTCTTTTATGCCATTAATAAACATTCAAAGAATACTGACTCAGTGTGAGGTGCTGCGGACAAAGGAAAAAATAAAACTTACCTCCAGCTTTTGCATCGGTCACACACCTTTGGGAGAGACTTTGAGAATAATTATGATGCTCTTGCTCCTTCCCTTTGCCAACATCTGCATCTGCAATTTATTTTCCTGTGGTCATGCAGTGAAAATGTGGTGAACCAAAACCTCACTGCCAAGATGAAGGGAGCTCTTCTATCTGTGCTGTTCTTCTCCCTGGTCATCCTGTATTCAGATTTGCAGAAAATTTGTACTTAAATCTTCATTGCATGCAGACATTTTGCTTTTCAGTATGATACTTTTATCCTGAGAAGCTGTCATCAAGACTTTAGTAACAAACCCACACACTATCCCTGCCACCACCCAAAGTCTAGGATGTGGTCACTGAATGTAAAGTTACAACTAGATCATTGCACAGAGATTCAGTATGTGAACAAATTTGTACTCAGTTCGCTACATATTAGTATGAGAAGTTGGACTCTGACTTCATTGATTACATAAATTATATGCACAGCCATATGCAGCGCCCTGATCCCCATCAACTCTTAAAATGTTTGCATCAGGAGAATTTCCAGCGTGCCAAATTCTGCTGGCTTTTGGAGTTGTTAGACCACAAAAATTAATCAAGTCACTTAGCCTTATTTACCCATTTCCATTCTTTGTCTCTGCCCTTTGGCGGTTAAGATACAATAGGATATTTAAAAAATAGTCCATCATTTCAAAAACACCAATGCAGAAAAAAGAATCCTTGCTAGAAGCCACCATCATTTACACAGTTTCCTCTCACTGTTTAAGCCTAATGTAATTTGTGTTGATTGCATTAAAATAAAAGTCAGAGTAGTTGCTAGATCAGGCAATCAGGGTCTTAATCTGTATTATATTTTGAATTTGTTAGTTGGAATTTTTTCTAGATACTAGGTCCTGGATGCTCAGTGGCGCAATCGGTTAACATGTGGTACTTACAGATGCTAGGTCCTAAGGAGGGAAAAGCCTTTGTTTGTCTCTCCATAGCTTTCCCAACTTCACTTCTGCTACGGCTCTCCCCATTATAGGATATAACTTGGGGCTTTGGACAGTCACACAGTTTCTATTCCACTAATTTCCACCTGTTCTCCTCCAGCACCCTTTGAACTGAATTTTTCCTGTGTAGCAAGTTGCATCTCCTGCCTTTCCCTGTAGAAAAGGACACCCTAGGAGGAGAGAGTTCCTCAGTCATACACTAATTGAGTCTAGTTCATTCTTGTTTATCAGTTTTCCACCTTCTTCCTAGTGACGTTCATGCCTCGTATTATTTTCAAGTCTGGGGTTAAGTGTAGTACAACAGACAAAAGTAAGCTAGCATTTTTTGGTACCATGTGCTGATAGATGCATAGTACAATATTTGCTTTTTATTTTCTTTGGAGTTCTAGACAGATCTCTTTTCTTAACTGCCTAGGTCCTGCCATTGACTTGGAAAAAGTAAAGTCAGAATGTCTCGACCCTGAGCCGGAGTTACGGAGCACTTTCAGTGAGGAAGCAAATACGTCGTCCTATTACCCTGCTCCTGCGCCTGTCATGGACAAGTATATCCTAGACAATGGCAAGGTAGTGTTTTAAGCTCAATATCCATTCCCTGCAAGTGTTTGTTAGTCAGAGGCAAGATGGAGAGTATGATGGGAACTTTCTGGAACCCATCTTGACTGGTTGGCCCCCTGCCTAGTCCTGAGTGACTGTTTATGGAATTTATATTATAACTAGTGTAGGCTTGTTGGGATTTTTCCTTATTTTGTTGCCTATTGGGCCAACGTGCTGCAAAACTAAACAAACATTCTAAAATAGCTTAATAGTGAGAAAGACTTTTAAAAAGAGAGATTCCCTTGATAGTTTGATGAAATTTGACTTAGGTTCCTATAAAATAAAGTGCCTAAAGCTCATGATGTGAACTGGAAATGAAAAAGCAGACTTCAAATTATAATTTAATGTACATGCACGCAACACTGACAAATGCGCTGTGCTGGCTGCCAGGGATGCCAGGTGAATGAGACATCCTCTGTGTCCCTTAGCTGCCTTTGTGCTGTGTATCCAGCAGTGCCTCACCCACAGTCCTAAGGCCACATGAAACCTCTCCCTTGAAAATAAGTCATA